CATGTGACACTGAAGACTGGAGTAATGATGCTGAAAATACAGCTGCGCATCACAGAAATAAATTACAGTTTATAATACAATCACATAGAAAACAGTTATTTTAAATTTTTATATTATATATATATATATATATATATAATATAAAAATTTAAAATAACTGTTTTCTATGTGATTGTATTATAAACTGTAATTTATTTCTGTGATGCGCAGCTGTATTTTCAGCATCATTACTCCAGTCTTCAGTGTCACATGATCTTCAGAAATCATTCTAATATACTGATTTGCTGATTTGCAACAACAGTTGTGCGGCTTCTTATTTTTTTTGCGGAAACTGTGATAGAATTTGATTTTTTTTACAGCAAAAAACTGCATTTTACAACATTTATTTGAAATAGGCATGTTTGTAACAATGTACAAGTCCTTATTGTCACTTGATCAGTTTAAATAAAATCACTAATTTCCCCAACTTTTCAGCGGTAGTGTAGAATAAATATATGGCCATAGATAGATAAATAGATAGATAGATTTACACAGTACACGTAATTTACACAGAAATGTCCCATCCCATATCCTGGGTAAATGTTAGTTTTGTGGGCATAATAATTTCAGTGCATATGGTAACATAAATAACTGGCCCAGTATTGAAACAGCTGCGACTAATGGACCTCTGACCCTCCACTGTTGGCTGCTGATCCTGTCGTCTCTCCTTCACATACGAATTCGATGTTTATTAATACTATCCCATATTTACAAAGGGATCTGTGCATGTATGCTGTTTTTATTGAGTGAAGAATGGAAAGTGACCGCGATCAGACAGAGAAACCCTGAAGCCAAGTGTGCCAGTATATTCAGTCTCACTATTTTATCATTTGCAAAATATGAGACTGTGACGATTCTACAGTGTTAAAGCCAGAAGATGTTTATTGTTTCTGGTTTTGTAATCACATACCAGCATAGATGACGCAATCACATAATAGAGCTGAAAATTACAATAAATTGGTAGAACATGATGTCTTTGGCATGACGGACTTGTCAGTATTTCCCTACTCAGTAAATTCTCAGCTGCCGCTGCCACGTAGATATTCCCGCTAATTCGCTTCCAACATTTGACAGGCACTGATGCTGGTTGGGGATAAAAGCGTGAACGAGAAAAGAAAAAAAAGGTTGGATAGGGATGATATTTTGCAGGAACATAAATAAAGGGCACAGAGTCAAACTATAAAACATAAAATGCACCGCACGAGGACTAGAGACAATAACGGGTGTTACTGATGGAAAAAGGTGGGAGAAAAACAAGGAATGACTACCAAGAGTGGTTTAGTAAAAATAGACTTTTCTACAAGAAACACAGAAGGCCAGAAATACAAAAAAAGAACATGTTAAGAAAACATACACAGTACATATTAAAGTATCAATAATCAATAAGTCCTCACAGAGGAATCATTTCTCAAAAATGTTTCTTTTCTTGCAAACAAGGCTAAAAATATATATATTCTAATCACAATTTCAGGCGATTAAAAAGGCACGTTGGGAGCCGTTTTTCTTGAAGTCCAGCTTTCTTTCCTACAATTCATTGTTGTGTGTGTGTGTGTGTGTGTGTGTGTGTGTGTGTGTGGGATATTCAGTCAAAGAGTGAATGCGCTACTAAAATGGCCCATGTCAGAGACCGAGCTGCTTAGTTCTCTGTTTCCCTCCCTCCCTGAGCCCTTGACCCCCTCTAAAAACAAAATCATGGAGGTCTGGAGAAAAAGAGAGTCTAAGTCGCAGGTGCTCACAGGCCCCAGAAGGTGAGAATGTTAATGCAATCCCCTCTTTTGGGTGTGGATTAGCGTCCCGCACTTAACCTATGAAACTGGGGGATGGGTGTTAGGGAAGACGGCAATTAAGTTGAATTTCTTCTTTCTTCTGTGTGAGAGATTACTCGTTCCATTGTGTGTAATTGTAGTCATTTGTTATATGTGAACGTGCAAAGTAGCAATTTTATACACATTCTGACCTTTTTAAATTATATTTTAATTAAATGTATATCATTTTCTTTTTTATATTTGTACTGTTATTGTATATGATTAATTTTTCAATATATTATTTTATAAAATTTCTGAATTGTTTTAATATTGAATCACCACCTAGGAATTATTTTCTAAGAAAACGACTTAAAAGATTTTCAGTCTGGTCTCAGACGTTTGGACACCACTTTATGTGTGAATGTGTATCTGTGTGAGGAAGAGAGAGAAAAATGAGTGTGTGTTTTAAAGAGAGTGGAATGATGCGGAATGAGTCCCGACGGTGGGCGCGTGACGGCGAGTCCTCAGGGTCTGGACAGCTGTGTGTAGACCGGCTGCTGGTCCCAATGCTGGGGACTGTGGTTGGATTGGGGAATGGAAGGAACCCCGGCAGTGTCAGCGATGGGTGTGTACATGGGCCTCTGGCTGGAGCTCATGTAGCTGAAGGTGGAGTACAAGCCGGAGCTTTGACCTCCAGCGTGGGTGTAATAGGAGTTGGCACCGCCCTGGTGGTCAGAGTAGTCGTACTGCGCCCGGGTGATTGATGGGAACGAAGTACTGTAGTGCTGGAGGTTGAAGGAGCCGTAGCTGACATGCTGTGGCGAGCCCTGCTGCTGCTCGTTGTAGTGGCTGGGACTGAGCTGTTCGGTTTTGATGTGCGTCGTTCTCGGTTGGTCTTGATCCCTGGCGCCGCCCGTCCCGAGTGGAGTCAGCTGGGCGCTTGGAGGGCTGCCGTTTTGAGGCTTCCCCATCCAGGTGGCGTAGCCGGCCATGTAGGATGCGTTGGTGGCGTGCCCGTTCGGCGGCAGGTACTGGTCAAACTCGTTGACGTCGAAAGTTTCGATGACGTCGTTGCTGAGCTCGCCGATGTCAACGTCGCGGAAGTCGATGTTGAGCGGACGCCCTGTGCTTTCCTGAAGCGGACGGGCCTCTCGCTTCAGATCCACTTTGCCTGACTGCACGTCAGTTTTTGGGGTGGTGGGAGGAGTGGGCGGCCCTTGAGACTGGCCTGTTTGGAAACGGTGGAGGAGGGGAGAGAAGTTAGAGAGCGAGTTAAGCACCGCACAGGGGACGCAACAGCAAGAGCGAAGGAAGGGAAAACAAAAACTGAGATTAACTCGAAATGGCCCACCTGAGTGCTCGCTGGGCGAGTGCACCTCTCCCATGCTGGACGCGGGCGAGTCGGCTTGCTGGAGGGCTTTGAAGATGGCATTCGGGGAGATGTGAGTCTGCTCGCTGCCGTCCTCAGACTCGCTCTGGCCGTTCTTCACCGACTTCCTCCGCCGAGGCTGATACTTGTAGTCGGGGTGATCTTTCTTGTGCTGAACCCTGAGGCGCTCAGCCTCCTCCACGAAGGGACGCTTTTCGCCCTCGTTCAGCAATCTGCCAATGAGTACAGCAATGAATCTTTCCCTACAGTACATACTGTGTATCCTGCATGCAGTTGTGTGCTATTTTAGAACTTATGCATATGAATTAATGCAATATAATTAATTGCAAATACATTTTAAACTCTAATAGACGTATGTTTCATAAGAAAAGCCTTTACCTCCAAAGTTTGCCCAGAGTTTTGCTGAGCTCGGCGTTGTGGAGGTGCGGGTATTGATCCGCGAGCTTCCTGCGCGCCGCTTGCGCCCACACCATAAACGCGTTCATCGGTCTCTTCACGTGCGGCTTGTTTTTGCTCGAGCCGTTCACCCTCACCGGCATGGGCACGAGCGTCCAGTCGTACCCTTTCAGCACCTGAGACACCGCGTCTCGGATGCACACCGGGAACTTGTCGTCTTCGTTCTTCTTGAACTCGCCGAGCGTCCCGTCCGGAGCTATGAGGCTGTTCTCGGCCGGGCGGGTGTTCTCCGTGTCGGAGCCCGATCCGGAGCCCGGGGAGCCCGCGGAGTCCTCGGACATGCTCGGACTTGGGGCATCAGACAGACACTTCTCTTGCTCATCTGTCATTTTCAGGTAGGGATCTAGTAGATTCATGCGCAGACTGTAGATGGACAATCTCAGAGAATTCGTACGGCACTCCCGACTGAACGCTTCGCCTTCCCAAAATACTTTCCAGCTATTAATTCCTGCAAATCCACTGAATCGCGGCGCTCGCTTTCAGAGGGCAAGCGTTTGAGTGTTTCTGCTGGTGTCTGCAAAAGCAAAGCGCTCCCCGTGCGCTCCCGTGTTGTATTTCCAAGAGAGGGACGAACTTTGGTTTGTCAGCTGAGCGCGCACGGGCTTTTAAACTGCACGCGCTGTGACGACAAGGAAAACGATGCCTGCTCGTGCCCACCCCTCTCTCACTCTCAATAATTATCACCCACAATTTAACATTTGAGAAATCTACTTTAACTTTGCTTCAAAAAGCACTGTTTTCATCACAAGTGCTTGCTGAAAACCCCCACTGCTGTATAAAAGAGAAATTGTGCGCCAGTACGCAGCCTGAAAATGTTTATCTTTAGGGTCGGACAAAATACTACATACACCACGCAAGACTTCAAGCGAATGCAAACAATCAAACGGGCTTAATATTCAAGCCACTGGCTTTAATTCGTTTATTTAGTGACTCATTTTGGAAAGCTTGGCTCAAGGAAGTGTTACTCAGTCAGTGACTCAGCAGAGCTTTCCACTCGCACTAATTCTTTCTTTTCGACAGGTTTGGAGAAGTTGCAAATATTGTTGCATCTATTCATCAAGCTCCATGCAGTCCGGAGATGGTGTCGGGGCGACTCGCTGGGTGCTGTCATGAAACTGACCGATAGGGGGAGACAGAGTTCTGTGCTCAGTGCAGAGTTTGTCTGTGTATAATAGGCCTAATGCAAACATTGGCCATGCCTTACTGATTAAAAACAGCTCAGGTCTCTGTATTTTTGGTCACACTTAGCATGTATATAGGGGAGACCGGGGAGTGTTAATACATTCTATTTAAATGTCTAAAGCGTTTTTTTTTTCAAAACATGTTTCAGACTTTAAAAATAATAGAATATTTGTCTTCTACAAAATAAAGTAATCTTGAAATCGGCATTATATCCCTAAATTGTTTAAATGTGTGAAGTACACGGCGATATTGCAACCTGCCTGACTTCCATTAGGCTTACACTAACAGAAAACATACATTTTAAATTGTATTTAATTTGTAATTTGGGCCTATTTCTTTTATGCATAAATGTATTGTGGTAATTAAATCGACTTGTTTAGCATCCTAATTTCACCTTAAAACTCTATATAAAAAAAGAAATGCATTTTTTTTTTTTTTACTTATGTAAGTAAAGCTCTTTTTTAAAATTAAGTTTATAATGTAATTTTTTTTTTTTTTTAAGGCTACATATATTTATGGTGGTGCTCATGTAGGCTATGAAACTGATTTCACCTCAGTAGCTCATTTCAAATTGGTTTAAATGGATGGTTTTACTCTAACTTACCTAGATTGATCGAAGATCTCTTTCAGGATCTGTTTTAGTGCAAACTTTTGATTGCATATGCTTGTGTAGTAACTTCTGCTTTAAAAGTTTCACTAACCACTGGTTTTACCAAGGTGTTCAAGTAATAAAATGTTATAGGAGTGCAACTTGCATTCTGATTAACTTATACCACCTGATAAGCAGAACTGACATCTGAGTCACAAATAGCGAATGCAGTCAAATGAGACGCTGATTTCACACGAGATACACCTACGCCACATCCTGTCAAAAACTAAAATGTTTCAGGAACAGATGGCAAAAGTATGTGTGTCCCTCTCTCTCATAGCTACAGGGTGAGTAGATAGGCCCCATCATTTTGAGGTAAATGTGTTCAAAATTCTGAAAAATCTGTGTGTAACTAAGAAACGTCACTACCGAACACCTTTTTTTCTGCAGTCAAGCACACTTTTTTGGGAGTTATTCCATATCATTTAATTTGTTCAGAACTGTGCTAGCTAACCATGTGCTGATTAGCATCTTTGAGATAGGTTCAAAAGTATCCAAAATTGTCACTACCGAAACATTTGGTGGAGTTTTGGTAGTGACATCTTTGTTTTTTTGTGAGTGTTATCCCATAAAATTGTCAAGACTGAAACATGTCATCATTGATTGGTACGGTAGTCACAAAAGGGAACACATAATCCTCATATTTGGGGGAAATAAGTACAATTTTAGTACAGTTATGCATTTTTTTTGTATTTTAGTATGTTTTTAGTGTTTAGTGTTTTAGTATGCAAGTTAAAACTCTGTAATGTGATGTGGTCGCTACCAAAGCATTACCGAAAATGTGCAGTCACTACCGAAACATGGGATGTTTTGTCAAAAATAAAGTATACTGAATTATCAACTGAGATGTTATGATGTTTCCAACTCTGACTTCGGACCAATTCTGTAGAATGGCCCATATATATATATATATATATTTATTTCAATAACTTAGTCAAAATGAAGTTCTGTTATGGCTGCCACAACTTACCAGTCAGGCAATATTCACCAAATCACTTTTACATTAAAGCAGTGATCACATACATGGCTAAGCAACCTACAAAAGGCCTTGGGAAACTTCTCATCTTTTCTTGGAGTGGAGGTGTGAAGATTTTGTGCAAACATTAGAGGTAAACTGACAAACCATGTTTGCAATTTCTTTATCTCTGAGGTGTTTAAGGGGCATTCTCATCTCTCTTTGTGCTACAGAAGTTCTTGTCTTTTGGCACAGAAACGACCACGGCTAATTAGACTTTAAGAACAAGCTGGCTTATGTTGTCTGTGAAGTCAGGCGCTAGTTTGTTAAACGTGACTTTTTCTAGTATTTCTTCATGACTGTAGAAATCCAAAAGAGCTTCCTGTCACTGTCATCTTGACCTCACTGCCACAGACAAAAGACCAGAAGTATAAACTCTATCTGTTTATACTGAACTCTACTAACTTCTGACAGACTTTCTGGCCAAGCAACTTTGTTGTTGTTATCATACTGAAGCTTGCATGGGGAAAAAAACAAACAAAAAGTGTTAATTTGACACCATGCAAGTGATGTTTAAGGAAATAATCAGATAAAAAAAAAAAAAAGGTAATTGTGAGATCAAGTTTTGAAAATAAGTTCACAACGGTAAGATATGAAGTCATAATGTGAGAAATAAATTTACAATTGTGAGACATAAAGTCGTTATTGCAAAAAGTCAAGTAGTAATTGTGAGATATAAAGTGACATTGTTAGATATAGTCACATTACACAATATAAAAATCACAGTTTCAAGAAATAGTCACAACTGTGAGATGTAAAATTACATTATAAGATAAATACATTTACATTACACTAAATAAAGTCGTAATTAAAAAATAATATATATAGTGAGATATAAAGTCACTGCAAGAAATAGTCATAATTGTGCAATATAAAGTCACATTGTGAGATATAAATTCACATTACACAAAAAAATCTCGAAATTATGAGAAAGTCACAATTGTGAGATATGAAGTCACATTTTTGAAAAAGTTCTAATTGTGAAATATAATCACATTGTGAGATATAAATTCACATTACACAAAATACAGTCACAATTACAAGAAATAAAGTCACAATTGTGAGATAAATAAAGTTGTCATTGTGAGATTTAAAGTGATAAATGAATTTACATTGCACTAAATGAATCTGTAATTACAAAAAAGTCACAGCTGCATGATTTAAAGTCACATTGCACAAAGTCACAATTTGAAGAAATAAAGCTTCAGTTGCAAGATAAAAAGTCACTGTGATATAAAGAAATCAAGAAATAAAGCAAATGCAATTACATTTTATTCCCTTTTATTCTGGCACAGAAACAAGCTCCCATGAATGTGGAATCTGGGTGTCAGGGTTGTGTTGAGGTCAGAGGTTCTTCCAGGCACTCAGTCGTTATCTGCGATTTACGACAAAGTAACCAGTTTCATCAGATCAGAGTATTTAACTGTTTGTTAACATGCGTCATCCTGCTGTAAGTCCAGTCTGAATGGCTTTAGTCTGAACCAGATGTTTCTGAAGTGTCACTAATTCCTAGTCCACTACAATACACGGATGTATTTTAATTTTACTCGATTCCACAGCAACCACAACATATTGATGGGAGTTATGAGATCATTTTGACCAGCCGAGCTGATTGAAAACCTGAAGCGCCTCAGAAGTAGGCAGAGGAAGCGGACACTCTCTAGAGCCACGGGAATCTGCACGCGCTCCAAAGATACAGCTGGTGCAAACACTGGCTCTTAAAAATAACAATGTGCTTTTGCGCCAAGCTAAATGTGCTAATGACAGATCCACACCTTTAAGGACTCTTTTGGGCTTTTAAGGGGGCAGCAGCAGGTGGGTTGAGGCTTAAGAAATTGGTTTGTCAGCGGGAGGGCCGAGCCAGCGGAAAAGCAGACGCTAGCCGTGCCCGCGATTTTCACAGTTCGAGAATTCTCTGATGCAGCGAAACGCTAGTCGGTCTGGACGCTGGTCCAGTCATAGCACAGCACATTTTTTTAATTGAATTGTGCCTCACAGAGAGAGGTGCTAGGCATAGTCGGATTTCATTTCACAGAGCTCGATAGTAACCTATAATAGTTAGGCTTGCAGTATTTAATCGGTGGCTCAATATATTGTTAATGATTCCAGCTATGACTTTTGCACCATCACTAAAAATCACCATGGCAGCAGCTGATTAAATAATTGCATAAATGGCTCAGCACTGAGGATCTGTCATATATGCAAGCATGCATTTTATAATATAATGCAATGAAATGCATGCATTTTTAAAAGTGTGTCAAATATTACAGATTCTACTTGTATATATGTCTTGATAGCTATTATATATGTGTCTTCTGCATGTTGCATGCTTTTTTAAATATTTTGCATGTGTGTTCCAGGCTCAATCAACTCCTTTTGTTGTGTTGTCTGATTCAGGATCTGATCTGACTGGTTCCTCAGCTTTTGGCCCTGATGTCATCTGTGGTCTCAGTGACATTCATTCAGATGTGTTCAAGTGTTACCTGTGAAACCGCAGACTAAATATAGCTGTTTGTGTCATAGTGGCGTAGATTAAGCAGGTTAATTCTTAACCATTTCCTCTCTCAGTGACGTTTACTGTATCTTGGCTACAGATAACACTGTGTCTAATCATCAGGTCCAGACACACTTTTTAATATTTCTGTACATATTTTGGTTGGAAATATGCAGAATTATGTAAACTAAAATGAGAGTGCAATGCTATTCTTGGCAGTGGAGATCATATTTGAGTAGTAATTGATAAGTAGAGCTGGATAAAGAATCAACAATCATCAGAATCAGAAGCTTTTGAATACAAATCTGAGGCCCTATGAAATTAATTTTAATATTTTCTTCC